GGGAGGGAGGGAGGGAGAGAGAGAGAGAGAGAGAGAGAGAGAGAGAGAGAGAGAGAGAGAGAGATTGAGATTATATCACATAATTTAGCCATGGTGCAAAAGATAGGAACTTCTAAGCCTATCATTATATATGTTTTAATATTTTAGTACAGATAGTCCTTGACTTATGACTACAATTGAGCCCAAAATTTCTGTTACTGAGCGAGACATTTGTTAAGTGAGTTTTTGCCCCATTTTACAATCTTATTAAGTGAGTCACTGCAGCTGTTAAAATAGCAAACATGGTTTTTAAGTGTCTTCCCCACTGACTTTGCTTGTCAGAAGGTTGCAAAAGGTGATAACATGATATCCTGGGACATTGCAACCGTCATAAGCATGAGTCTGTTGCCAAGCATCTGAATTTTGATCACATGACCATGGGGATGCTGTAATGGTTGTACGGGTGAAAAACAGTCATAAGTTATGAACGAAGGGAAACATACATGTCCCAGGATAATGTTGAAGGATCTAATCTGGGACTAGAGGTTGTATCTTCCAAGCTTTCGGACTCGTATGGGAGCCCATCTTCATGGAACCTGTCTCTGAGCAGGGGCCCTTTTCCAAGGCTTCAATCGCTTGAATGGGCCCCTCCTCAGTCAACAGGAGTGCTGATTTACTACCAGCTTATCAAGTACTTAGGAAGTGTGGCAGAGGTGGGTTTCTCCCGGTTCGGCCTAGTTTGGCTGAACCGGTAGTAGAATTCAGGCCTAGGTGGCAGAACCACCAGCAACCCAGGTCTGCCACGCCGCTGAATTGGTTCCCTCACTGCTGCTGGGGCACCACCATTTTGTTTTTTAGTGACTGCGCATGCACAGTTCACTGTAAATTGTTCTGCACATGCACAAAGAACAGTTTACATTGAACAGTGCACATGCACGCACGAGCGAAGCTGGCACGCACACATGCGTTGCGTGTGGGTTGCGAACCAGTAGTAAAACTAGCAGCAACCCATCTCTGAAGTGAGGGGTTGGCAGCAGAAGCAAACAACAGCCAGTGACTTAACAGACAGCCATCTACACCCCAATCAACATCTAAAAAGCCACATACAGCAGGTACCCTATAAATACCACTCCCAGAACAGCCCAAAGCACACTCTCTGCTAGAGAGAAGTTCGCTGGAGCTGGGCTCCAGTATGAGTCCAAAAACTCAGAAGACAAAACCACCGGTCCTGATGACCAACCCAGATTGGATCATAAGTCATTTTTTGCCCCAGTGGTATAGTAACTTTGAACTGTTGGAAGAAATGTCCATCTGGGTTCAGTTCCAAGTAGGGAGAAAGACAATGGAAACAGGGAGGCTGATTGGAAAGATGGTTTTAATGGTGAAGCAGAACCACCAAGCATGTGTGACTCACCACATGGTAACTGAGCATATGGAGTGGAGATTGAGTGTTATTTACACCCTCTTTTGGGATTTGAACTTGAGCTTCCTGTTCCTGCGGCAAGGACGTGTATTCTATTGGCTGTCAGATTCCCAGGGGTCTATGCCAGGATCATAGCTGAGGTGGTCTGAATTAAAGGTGGTTGAACCTTGCTGCGTGATGTTATGTCCCCAGGTGATTTTGCAATGCAGTGAGCTCTGCTGCTAGATGGGTAGAGGGGTAATCCTATTATGCCCTGGAGGGTCATGTCTTAATCCCATCACCCTGGAGCTGAACTTCTAATTGTCTTGTAGATAAGGTGGCCCAGTCTTAAATGTGCACCAAATATCTGGTGGAGTCAGGGAGCTGCTCTTTGTCTTTAAAAACATGTTTCTCCTTTTCCAATCCAGGGAAATATAATATTCTGCCTTTTTAATATTTCCT